AGAACTGCTCCATATCCGCGAACAACTCCGCATGTGCAATGCCCATGGAATGGCCCGTCTCGTCGGGGGTAGCCCGCAGCAAAGCCGCTCGCAACGCCGAGGATCCACGCAACGCTGTATCCCAGTGGTCCTCCAACTGCTGCGTCCACGACTCGACCACTCCCGATCGCATTCGTGACCATATACGAATCGTCATAGGTAAAAGCCCTAAGACCCGATCACCTCCTGCTGGTTTGCCCGCGATCGCGCCGATGGTGCCTAGGACTTGAGGAGGCCACATCAGATGCTCTTCGGCTAGCGCGATGATATCCAAAAAGTCGTATTTGGCCTGGCCAGGGAGCCTCTCGATGTCCAAGGGACCTATCGCATCGATACCTCGTGCCTTCTTGACCCCCATACGGTGGGTGGCTGCGTTGAGGTCCTGGATCGTGAGCTGTGGGAGGTCCCCTTGGGCCGCCGAGAGTCGGCAACGTCGAAGAGCGCCTGCAAGTGCTGTCTGTCTATGCGGGGCGGCCGTCCACTTCTTGGCCCAACTTTCGCTCTTGTGGCTCATGATGAGGATGGGGTCGGCGACGATCTTGCCTGAGATCATCTCCTCGAGCCGCGGCTGCTGCGTGTCCTTCGTCCATCTGTGCAGGGCTCCAGGGGTCTTCTTCCACATATATTGCGCCCACCTGATGAAGCCCTTTGTGCCATCTGCCAGAGCTCTCCGCGCAGCTTGTCCTGCCAACCTCTCGGTGATCTCTATCACGTCCTCTCTCTCCTGACGGGCTGGGCTGAAAATGTCGTGCGCCATCTGCTGCCACTGGTTGAGCAGCTCGATATCGTTGTGCTTGCTGACCACCTGTACCTGCTGTATACGCTGTCGAAACTCTTGCCCTCGTTGTAGCAGCTGCTGTGGGTCTTTGTTGTTTTTCACTAGGCCGTTGATCGCGATCACCTGCGTGTGCGTGATGGCCCACCAATCTGCCTCAGAATTGTACAGATGCGGTCTGCCTGGCGATGCTGTGCTCTTTTTCCACTTGATGCCGAAACCCTGCGCCCTACCTCGATAGCCGTCTCGTTGGTGTTGGGGTACCTCTGAATGTTGCAAAACTGCCTCCTCCACGGCCTCGATCCACCTGCCGTAGCAACTTCTGCGCCAGCAGTGGGCGATCACGATAGGCCTGAGGTCGCCAACGGTCCCCTCTGAGTTGAATATCTGGTGGGATGCCAGACAATCCCCATTTGGCATCCTCCCACGTAGCGCTACTGATGTGGAAGTTGATGGACGGTGAGTCCGCGCTTGGAGTCTGAGTTGTCGGGGATGTGTTCGTTGTCGTTGTGCCTGGATCCTGCTCAAGGAGGTCGAAACCATGCCGAAGTACAGGTTCCAGCTCTTCGCGTCTCTGTCGGCGTCGTACCTGCTGCTTACTCCGCTTGCTGTCCAGGTCCTTCTGCTTCTTCGGCCTCGGCACCGTGGGCAACGCTTTGGGAATGTCCAGCGTGCGGCGCCACCATCGCTGCTTCTTGCCTGCCAGCCTGATGCGAAGCCCACAATGCGTCGCCCATGGTACTGTCAGCTCTTTGGCAATGGTAAGCCCTTCCTTGCAGCCCGCAGCGACGACGCCGTAGTCGTAGAGGGAGCCCTTGCCTTTGTCGCACGTGACCTCCTCTGGGCCCGTGACGATCTCGCCTCGCATCTGTTCTACCCAACCAGATGCGAGCAGCTCGGTGGGGGCGCCGTTCCAATCCGCCACGACGAGCCATGGGTCCTTCAGCAAGCGCACGAAGGCCGTGAGGGCTGCCATGACCTTTCGGTTCCTGCCCGTGAAACGCAGGGTCGGTAGTAGGTACGCCGCGATTATGATGAAATTGCCGATGCTGAGGTGCAGCACCATGGGGGAGAAACCGACGAAGGCCGAGTCCCCTTGCTTGTCGTGCTTGCCCTTCCAGTGCTCCAAGGACGTGGCCTGTATGTGTGTGCGCGTGGCGACGAGTTCACCCGCGGACCATCCTTTCTCTGACTTGCCACTGGGGACCGCGGGGGTAATCGCCGCCTTCCATCCTTCCTTCTGCAGGAACGTCTTCATGGCTGAGACTTGGTTTGGCCCCTTGTGTGTCTCCACAAACGCCAGGCAATCGAAATGCTGCGCGGCTGGGCCTTGCACGTAGTTCTGCACCTGTGGGCCCCACTCCGTAATGTTGCCGAACAGGACCTGGAACTCCTCGCTCTGCTGCTGGGTGGACTGCGCCTCGCTAAAGCCCAGACTGCTCAGCACCATCAGCCAGACCGTCAGCTTGCTCATGAGCTTCGCGAGCCTTGCGCCTCTCAGCCCGAGCCTGCTCCAAGGCTGCCTGATTGGCATCCCTGATCTTCTTCTTCTCGTCCTCGGGGTTGATGGCTGCCGCACCTGCGCCGTTGCTTGCGGTCGCTGGCGTTGCTGTGGTGGGTGCCTCTGGCGCAGGGGGGTCCTCTTCCACTGCTTCTGCCTTGGGCCCTTCTGCTCCTGCTTCGACCTTACGCTTCTTTTTGGGGGCCTGCATGGCCTTCTTTGCCTTCTGGTGGATCTCCTTAATATACTTGAACTTCGCCTGCAGGGTGCCCAGCTGCTCCTTCTGGAACTGCTCCAGCTCGCTCTTCCACTGCATGATGCTGTCCATCTCCTCGGACGGTATGTCGCACTCCTCGAGGCCCTCGAAGAGCGAGCCGTCGTACTCGAACTTGACGTTGAGGGTCTTCTCTTCGGGTCTGACCACGATGATGCCCGACTCCTGGTTGGCCTGTTGGAGCGCCGTGAGATGCCGCTGCTGCACCTCGACCCTCTGCTGGGCCAACTTGTCCATCTTCTCGAGCTGGTCGTCCAAGTACAGCTGCGCGCCCGTGAGCTTCGTCCGCTGCTTCTCGATGCGATTGTCCAGCTCCTTGAGCGCGCGATTGGCGTCAGCCAGCAGCTGGGCGCCTGTACGCTGCTTGGGTGGGGCTGGTGCAGGCTTGGCGTTGGCCTCCTCCTCTTGGGCTTTGCGGCGCAGCGTGTCCAAGGCGGCCGTGATGGTGGGGTCGCTCTTCTCGCCGACGCCCTGGTACGCAGCCAAGCTCGTGATGAGGGAGACCGTGGTGATCGGGTCGGACTGTCCGCCCTCGCCCATCTGCGCCTCCACGGTGTCCCAGCCTGCCGTGGTGCTTGCGTACGTGGAGTGCCGCCATGGTGCCCACTTCTTCCACTGCCGTCCCGGGCGTGGCCAACCCGCAGAATGAGGTCCATTCTGTGCCCAAACTCCAGACGGTGGCGGTGGGACGCCGACGGTGGGGCGGAGCTTCGCCTTGCACTTGAAGCACTCGACTTTGCTGCTCCAGTTCCACTTGTAGCCGCACGCTTTGCACCCAATATACCCCGCCGCTTTGCCATCGCCTCCCATGCCGCGGGTCGCTGAGCAACAGGAGTGCTCACCTGCGGGCTGCAGGCGGCACGCAGAGTCCTGGGGCGGACCAGGCTCTGCGAAACAGACGGGGTATGCCGCGGACTAGCGGTATCCAGTTTCGCCGATGCGGGCTCCGCCCGCAGAAGCATCAGCCTTGAGCCAAAATGGTTACGGAGGAGGAGGAGGAGGAGGAGGAGGAGGAGAGGACGAAGGAGAGACGCGGGGACTGTCCTTCCAGAACGAGGACCCAACACCACAGGATGGTTGGGGAAAACAAAGCACAAGAATGCCGATTCTTGAAGTAGGAAGGCGCTCGAAATAGATTTGGATCTGGGATTTCGAGAATACCTACTTCCAACGACAGGCATGTCCCTCACCCCCAGGCGAAGCCAAAATCGAATCGATGATTCGGATCGGCGATCGAAATTAGTCGGATCGGCGAAAATCAGCAGTTGAGCTGGGAGAAATCGAATCGGCAGAAATCGGCAGGCCAGTAGGCTTCCTATGAGATAATTCGCCGGCCCAACGGGCCAGGGCGTGCTAAGATCTCCGGTACCTGGTTAACAGTATTTCTAGTTCGCGCGCGCGGGGCGGCCCCTGGGGGTCCCCGGACGAAAAGTACCCCGGCAAGGTCCCGGCAAGTCCCTGGCAAGGTCCCGGCAAGGTCGGGTCAGAGATGCCGGAGTTCTGTTTCGGAGTCCAAGAGGGCTCCAGATCGGTCCAAGAGGGCCCCGAGAAGCTTTCTAGACGGTCCAAGAGAAGCCCGAGACGGCCAAAGATCGCCCGAAGACGCCCCAGATGGCCCCAAGACAGCCCAAGAGGCCTCCAAGACGCTCCAAGGAGCCTTCCAAGAGGCCTCCGAAGAGGGCCCCAAGTTGCCAAAATCGTTGATTTTCATTGTTTTTTTTCCGATGTTTTTTTGCGTTCTGGCCTTTTCGCTTCCGGACGCTCCAAGAGGGCCCAAGAGGCCTTCAAGACTGCTCCAAGACGGCCCACGAGGCTCCCAAGACGGCCCCGGAGCGGCCCAAGAGCGCCCCCCAGACGGCCCAAGTGCTGCCCAAGGCGGACCAAGAGGCCCCAAGACGGGCCCAAGAGGGGCTCAAGAAGGGAACCGAGAACTGAAAAATCGAGCCCTCCGCCCCAGAAGGCGCCCAGGACCCCGAAAGAGGCCCCAAGAGACTCTCCAAGACACCCCCAAGACGCCCCAATAAGCTCCCGTGAGGCCCCAAGAGGACCAACAACGTCAGGCCCCAGGCCCCAAGAGGACCAACAAATACCGCCAAGAGCCCGCCGAAAGCCCCCCAAGAGACCGTCACGAGAGCTCAGGAGGCCCCCTGGAGGCCTCCCGAGTTCTCCAAGAGGCCTAAAAAGAGGCGCCAAGAGGCCCCAAACGGCCCCACCGAGGCTCCAAGAGGCCACGAACGCGCAAGCAAACGCCTGCGATGGCACAATACGGGCCGGCGGAATGAGCGAAGCGATTAAATCCGAATCCTAACGCGAGGCCGAATCAAAGCGGCATCGGAAACCATCGAAATCGAATCGAATCGAATCGGAGGAGTCGAAATGAGCCCCACCCACCCCCGCCGCGACTGCGCTGCTCACTCTTCGCCGGCGCACTCCGCGTCGGCGACCGCGAGGGGGGCGCTGGCCGCGGCGCCGACCTCTCCGTCCGGCCTGCGCGGCGCCAGGCGGCGGAGGGCGCGGAAGGCGACCACCGCCAGAACCCCGGCGCAGGCCGTGTAGGGTGCCAAGATCATGGAGGAAGAAAGAGTGGCATGAGCATGAATTTTCGACGGCCGTCGAGGATTTCTTGGATCTGCTCTGGCCCCCCCCCCTCCCTGGCGCGCGGAGCGCGCCAGGGGCGGCGCCAGAGACGCCACCAGAGGGGCCCCCAGCGCCGATCCAGGAAACCCACGCAGACCGTCGACAAATGATGCTTATGTCGCTTTTCCTTCTCAGAAGATCCGCAGCGCCCGCCCGTAGCACGGCCGGAAAATTGTGGGGCCTGCCGGCTGGCGGCGCGCCGCGTACTCCTCCACCACTGAGGCCGCGGCTGCCCCAGTCTTCTTCGCCAGGTACCTCCTGGCGAACGCCTGCAGCTCCGTGTAGAGGTTCTTGCCGCCGTGGCACACGTAGTCCACCTGCAGCAGGTTGATCGCCTTGAAGTGGTCCTGCTTGACACTCTGCGCGACATGGTTGTTTATGTTCGACGCCGACGACTCGGCGAGGATGCAGGACAAGGTGGCGAGGCCGTGTACTACCGAGTATTCGTCGTACTGCCAGTGCGCTTGAGTGTTCCAAAGAGTTCCGTTGGCGAACGGCACTTCCAGGGCATTGAGGTGCTTGTTCAAGTAATCGTTCAGCTGGCTGTAGCGGCCAACGCGCTCGGCATGGTCGGTGGAGACGCAGTTCTCGGCAGGCGTGGAGAGCGTTGGCTGTTTGTAGCAATTGATAGCTTTGTCGTAATAATTCGCGCCTAGTTTGTAGACCACGAGGATGGAGCCGCCGCCGGGCCTCCGGTCTTGCTTGCCTTTCTCCAACGCCTTCTTGACCGTCATGCTGCCCATCACGTTTGGTTTGTTTGCGCCCATGACGTGGTAACCCTTCTCCTTGATCAGATCTGAGACTTCGCTGATGCACACCTGTTGCAGGTCCGTATCCCCCTGGTCCCCGTCGCACAAGTTGACGTACAGGATGACAAGCTCCGTCGGCCGCGTGGACAACCACTCCTCCACCTCGGCCATGGCGTCTTTCACGTCCATGTCGAAGACAACTCTGCCGTGGTGCATGACGAGGCGGCCATCCGCCTTTCTGTATGGTCGAAGGTCGAACATGCGGGCCCCGCACCCCAGCTGCTCGATGAAGGATCCGCGCTGGCAGGTGGCGTAGTTCCCGTAAGGGTTCATATTGTTGCAATAATATCGCTGCTCGTAGCCGGTGCCCGCGTCATGGGTCACGATCATCGGGTACTCGTTGAGGGGCAATGCTTGGAGCTCCTCGGCGATACCCTCCGCCTCGGGTGGCACTTCCTCGTCGACAGGCGCCTTGCAGCCCGCCTTGCAGTCGCAGCACATGATGTTGCAGTGGCCCTCGTCTGAACCACAGCACCGAGTGGCGCCAATTGCCGCCGACCCGTCGCTGCATATGCCGTCTCCCAGTTGTGCCCCGCAGCACCCGTTCACCTGCGAGAGCGGGTTGGTCACGACATCCATCATGTCCGGCGTAGCTACAACCATCTGGCTGGCCGTGGGCGTCGCCAGCAGGGCCAGCATCGGAGCCAACATCGCGGCGACTCGGCGGCCCATCCTGCCCGTGCTCTTCCGATCCTGCGGCGGCGTGGTCGGCCAGCGCTGTCTGCTTGAGCCGCCACAGCCTCGCTTGGAAAGCGGCTCATGTTGAGAACGTTGCTCTCGCCTGAGACCTTCTCGAATGATGAGTACGGGCCACAAGGGTTGAGCATTCAACATGGGGGTTTCGCTCGAATCTCTCCACAGTGTCTTCCGCCACAGTCCCGTCAGGCACCGAGTGCGATACCCTGAGAACCCCCAGCGTGTAAGGGTCCCAGGCCCCTCAAACTCACGAACTCTCGGGCGCTCTCGCGCGCTCTTGGGGCGCGCCGCGTGAAAAAGCGAAAAAGCCAAGGGGCCGTCCTTGGAGCTCCCTTGGGAGCCTTCGGGACCTCCTGGAAGCCCTGGGTGCCAGCCCACAAGAAACCAAACGCTACACACCCCGTGGCTCCTCATGAGCTTCTCGTGATCGCCGCTTCCGTCCAGGACCGCCTGAGGTGCCCCCCAACGTCGCTCCAGGACGGCCCCGAAGCCCCCACGACAGGCCCACGAAGCCCCCTCTTGAGCCCGCAAAGGGGACCCAACAGGGGAGACCCGAATGGACACTTGAGGCTCTGCGTCCGAAGATGGTTCCCGAGACCGCCAGCAGAACATGCAGCAGAACCTCAAGAGGCTCCCAGTAGGCCCCAGCAGGCCTCGAAGGTGTCCTCAAGAGTCACCCCCCAAGAGACCCCAACCACATTGGCCTCCTGCTCACAACCCGGACACGGGGGCGGGATGTCCAGAGGGCAGCTGGGCCCACCCTGCCCCCGCGTGGCCTGGCACAGGGGTGTGCCGCGCGCCAAATGTTAGTTTGTTTGGGTATCTGACAGGCATTCCCAATGAGGTCTCGGCCGATCGCGCCGCCCCCGCGGAAAAGGTGTCTGTCACCCGTCAGCGCTCTCGCCAAAAATGGCCCCAAGATGGCACCGCGACGGTGCCTGCAAGACTGGTCAGATGGTCTCCAAGGCGGCCTCAACACGCCTGCAAGACGGCCAAGATGGCCCCACAAGAGCCCAAGATAGCCCAAGGTGCCTTCAGATGATCCAAGGGGCCCCAAAGACGCCCCATGAGGGCTCCAAGATGACCTCCAGGAGGCCCAAACCATTGATGTTCCATAATTGTCATCGCTGATTTTAGCGTTCTCGCCTTTTCGGGCTTCCAACGCTCCAAGATGGCCTCATAGGCCACACAGATCGCCTCAAGACGGCCCCAGGGGCCTCCAAAAGGCTAGCAAGACGGCTCAGGAGGGTCCCAATACGGCCCATGGCCCCCCCAGACGGCCCCATAGACCTCCAAGGCGGCCCCAAAACGCCCAATGGGACCCATGACCGCCGAGAGGGCCCCACGAGAGCCTCCGAAGGCCGAGAGGCCCCTAAGAGGTCCCTAAGAGGCCCCCCCTTGAGCCCCAAGCCCCAGAGGACCCCAAGATGCCCCTCAGATGTCCCCAAGAGGCTCCCAGGAAGTCCCTGGGAGGCCCCAAGAGGGTCTCAAGAGGCCTCCTCTTCTTCCTCATCCTTGTCATCCTTCTCCTTCATCTCATCCTCCCATCTGTTCCTCTCCCCAGTGTTTCCCCACGGGGTTCCACAACGGCTGGGGGGAACACATAGTCCAATAGCTTGGCCAGACTTCGGTCCAACGTTTGGCCGCACGTGCGTTTCCAAAAGGCGGTGGTTCGCCGCAGGCGTCTCCGATAACTCAAGCGATAACACTGTCCTACAGGTGCGCGCATGGGAGAGCGGGTCCTGTTCAGGACAGGGCGCTCGATTGGCACGCCCTTGAGCTTCCAATTCGCCCCACGTACCCATGCAGTTGTGGTACTTGCAATAGGCAAGCAACGGTAGTAGCTGTAAGCGCTGCCGTGCTGAAGCGGCATTATTTCGGCGCGACCGTTTTTGTCGGAAGTACTTTGGCCGCGCGGCATCGAAGGCCTCTCCCAATCTGCGTGCCTGCTGCCTGCATGGAGGCTCGCCTGTCGCAAGCAAGCTCACGGTCGCAGCCGCGCCGGCTACGCACGCAGCTTCCAAGGCGCACGCTTCTGCAGCCATCGTACTGCCAGGAGGGATGCTGAATAGGGAACGAAAGGGGCCTTTATGGTCATGCGGGCCTAGATCTAAGGAGCGGCCCCCGAACCAGAGCCCCTTCTAAGCATTCACTGTTTCTGCAGCGTGGAACTAGCAGGGATGAGCAGGCGCTTCTCTTCAACAAGGTGCTTCAGCCAGGATGGCGCGCACCTCGAGCGCTCATTTTTCAACAGTGGCTCCCCCGTTGTTAGAAGGACCTTTTGCAGCTTGTAGTGGCAGATCGGGCGGGGAAAGGCATTTCAATCAATTCAGGTAAATGTCTTCGAGTTCAGGTTTTCACATGTTTTTAACTGGTCTCGAACAACATGTTTTGGAATTCCTTTGACCTGTGTTTTATGGATTCAATGATGGGGGGCTGGCAGGGGGCGTGGTGCAACATCGCTGATGCATCATGAGTGTAGCGTGGTCATCTTCATGCGCCTCTTTCCTCTCCTGCCCTTCCTCATCCTCCCCCTCCTCCTCCTCTCCCCCCTGCCCCCTCATCCCTCTTTCCCTCCTCCTCCTCCTCCTCCTCCTCCTCCTCCTCCTCCTCCCTCCTCCTCCGCCTCTTCCCCCAGAAGGAGGGGGATGGGCGTCCCTCCCAATCCTTCGACGTCATGTTCAAAGTGTTGTGAATATGCGTGACCACAGAAGTCATGAGAATGGGACTGTCGCCCAAGAGTGTGTTGTTGGGCAGCCCTTGGGCCACGAAGCGGCATCCGGAGGCTGACAATCTGTCACACTAGATGTTCAAAAACAGCGTCCGACTGCCTCGACGCTCCCTGGGGGTCCGCAGGAGGAGCAGTCTCCGAGCCTCGAACCACGTGTCTTTTTCCTTGGGCCACAGTGGTCCCGACCCCTTTTCCCCATGGGGCAGCTCTTCGTCCCCCATCCGTTCTTGATGGTCCCAGTGCCGCAATGAAACAAAGCCATGACCAGAACAAAGTAGGACTCAGAAGAATTGGGGACCTTCGAGCCCCCGTCGGCACCGGTGGAAGACATAGGAGGAAAAGGCAGGGATGTTTCTTCAGAACGGGGCCAAGCAAGAGGAGCCTCGAATAGCTAATTAAGCCGACCAGCATGGACGCTATGAGCCCAAAGTGCTGTTAGGCAACCCTACCTTCCCGCCACTGCGCTACACGTCAGACACATAGGGAGAGGAGAGGAAGGGGACTCATGACAGCAAGACAATTTCTCGTGGGTCTGACGTGGGACAACTCCCGCCACCTGCATGAGACATCCCCCGGGCCCCCGAGCCAGTCCCCAATGACTGGGCATGACAAAGCCTGCTCACTCTGTGAAGTGGCCCTGGAAGCTGCTCGAGTACGGGACTCCAACGAAATATGCACTGCACGCTCTGAAATATATCCCTCCTCATCTATGAGGACCATAGAACTCTTGGAGAGGAAGCCGTCGAAGACAAGCTTACCACGCCCGGGATCGACTTTCGTAAGTGGGCCCGCTACCATTTTGCCGTGGGGGACCGACCCATCTCACCTGGGATCCGATGGAACAGAGAGCATCACGTATAACCGCAAGCTCGATGGAAGTCCTCCGGCCGGCCCGCGATCCTGAACTCTTCTGGCTCAACGTATCAAAAACTGACGTGGCATCAACAACAGGGAGAAAGGGATTGGACTCCGCCAGATGGCAGTCACGGGAGAGAATGACGAGAAAGGGACAGCATCTAAGTGTCAAGCGGGCTTCACAACATCGTCGATTATCATGTCTGTCCGAAGAATATGAGAACACTGTGTCTCGGCCAGGGCGGCTGATAGGCTCAGCGCCTCACTCGCACTGGTGCTGGTGATCACTCGCTGAAGGTGAGTGGACCTCCATGGGAGAAGAGAGACTCGGGCGCGCCTGTCGCTGCGGATCTCGGCGTCGGCCGCGCCGATGAGCCAGCCCCTCCGAGGCCCCCCTCGCTCCGCGGAACCTGGGCCGCCCGCATCGGAGATGGCCACCAAGGCGAGGGATTGAGGACCGAGGGGCCACGCGATGATCCGTTGACTGGCGGTCGACTTACGATGCTTGACCGTCTTGACGCCCATGAGCCAGCCATTGGATTTGCGCGACCATCGCACGAAAACCTTTGACCTCCAAAGGCGAAAGCTCCCGGGGAACGTCAGCTGCTCGAGCCTCGTCCAGCGTCATGGCGGTAAGCTGTTCTACAATGTACTTTTCTGGGTCGACCGCGATCAAAAAATCCTGCTTCTGAACGCGCCTCCCAGCGTACTCGGAGGAACCGGCTTTCCATTTGCTGAACTTGAAACAGATGGTCAACAACTCTCGAAGACTAACGCGCTCAGAAAGATCGGGCACGATAGCGAGGTCGTCGACCTCGATCGAAACAACCGCCCTAGGTTCCTCCATTTTGGACCTCTCTATCCACAGACATGTTTCTATCAAAGATTTCCTTCAACCATTCTAGCGAGAAGTGACGCCAAGATATGGTGCCACAGCAGAGGGGCGTCGTCCAGGCCGTAGACGGGAGCAATAAGCTCGATTAAAGAAACGGGGGGCAGGTCCTAACCCTGGCAGGGCTCACAATAGATGGCCTCACGATGGCGAGCGAGCCGAGTGGACTGACAGAACGCGTTCTTATAGCATCGGCAAGCTCTAACGCCCAACCCAGGGAGCACACAGCCTGAAGGATGACCATCAGGGATTTCGCCAGAGGAGTGGGGGCATACGCGTGGAAATCTTCGCTATCGGGGTCGTGGTGAACCTGCACGCACCTGCGGCTCCTAGCCTGAGGGAGGGATCGGAGGCCTTCCTGGGGTTTGAATGTTCGGACCATCCAGGGCACTAAAATCATGTCGGGGAAACCGTCTCCGAACCAAGATAGCTTCAGCTGCCCACTGTCTCCTCCCACTGACCCCTCCGCTGTCCCCTCCCACTGTTCCCCCCGCTGTCTCCCTCACTGTTCCCCCCAATGTCCCCTCCCACTGTCCCCCCCGCTGTCCCCCCCTACTATCCCCCCCACTGTCCCCCCAACTGGCCCCCCCCCACTGTCCCCCCCACTGTCTGCTCGTCCCCCCCAGTCCCCACTTAGCTACAGATCAGATAGTCAACTTTTGATTTTGGAATTGGTCTGAAAGCCTCTGAAAGACATGCAACTCAACTCCGGCGCCTGTCCTTTTACAGGCCTGAATAAACTTAAACTCCAGCGGAGCGTGGAACGGTCCACGGGCCTTCGGGCCATTCGCTGCTATAAATAGACAGTACACTGTTTAACGATAAGACATGCAACTCTGCGCTTCTAAGTCCCACCAGCCCTTTAGGGCGTGAGTGGTTTAGAGAGCCCCCTCTGTCTTCAACCCCCCTTCTTCCCCTTCGGGGAGGGGTTTACCCCTCCCCCTCCCCCCTCCCCCTGGGTCTGGAGAGGGCGGGCCGCGGGTCGTTGGAGGGGTCTTTTTCGACTCCTGGGAGGGCTAAAAAACGACGACCCTCACGAGGATTCTGCCCCCGACGGGGGGAGTGAGAAAAAATGCTCTCCTCTTCTGTGAAGCCAAAATCCTTGCTTTTACTATGGTTTTGGCCCCATTTTGGCCTCCCGAGGGGGCCGCGCCCATCTTCCTTCATAGCAAAATCATTGATTTTACAAAGGTTTTGGGCTCATTTTGTCCTTCTCAGGGGGCAGCGCTTCTTTGCGCTTCTGAGGAGGTCGCCAGAGGCCCCAAGATGGCCCCCAGAGGCCCCCAGGAGCCTCCCAAGAGGCCTCCAAGAGGCCCCCAAGAGGCCCCCAAGAGGCCCCAAGAGGCCCCCAAGAGGCCCCCAAGAGCCCCCAAGAGGCCCCCAGAGGCCCCAGGAGGCCCCCAAGAGGCCCCCAAGAGGCCCCCAAGAGGCCCCCAAGAGGCCCCAAGAGGCTCCAAGAGGCCCCCAAGAGGCCCCACGAGGAGCCCGAACCACACCAGGACGAGGGGCCCGAACGACTCACACCACGAAGAGCCCGAACGACTCACAACGAGGCGCCCGAACGACTCACACCACGAGGAGCCCGAACGACTCACACCACGACGCGGGCCCCGAACGACTCACACCACGAGGAGCCCGAACGAGTCACACCAGGAGGAGGGGCCCGAACGACTCACACCAGGATGAGGGGCCCGAACAACTCACACCACGAGAAGCCCGAACGACTCACACCAGGACGAAGAGCCCGAACGACTCACACCACGAAGAGCCCGAACGACTCACACCAGGAAGAAGGGCCCGAACGACTCACACCAGGACGAGAAACCCCAAACGAGTCAAATCACGAGGAGCGCTTTCTCTCCCTCCTCCTCCGCCTCGTCCTTTTCCCGCCCCCCCCCACAAGGAGGATGTACAAGGAGGCGGGAGGAAGGAGTCGACAGGGGAGATATGCGGGGCCAAACGGGCACACGCCTGAAAAACACGACTGTCGGCATGCTTCGCATGAGTTGCTGTTGTGAGATGGGCTGGTGGGGATACGCGAAGCGTAAAGAGTTCAAGCTGGATTGCTAAGTTTACATTGCACACCCTGCGCCCTGAACTCATGTGAAACATCTCTGTTCGTGGAGCACACGCAAAGATGAGGAGAGAGGGAGAGAGAGAGGGAGAGAGAGAGAAAGAAAACGCCCTTCACTCACTTCTTCTCCTCATCACGATGTATATGAATATCGGACCGCTTCCCCGCCCAACTGCAAAGCATGTTGGCATAGTCGAACTTCGTGGTCTGCTACTCCTGGATATTGGTGAATTCCTTCTCGGTAGCTTCCCCGCGTAGCGTGGCACACTTGTGCCTGACTCCTTGTTCCTTCGAACAGGGTGACCTTTCACTTGTCGGCTGTGATGCAAAGCCACAGTATATCGAACCAACCTTCTTTCGCCTGCCCATCTGCTAGCATCGACCTTGTTGGTACAAGAGTGCACGAATCCTGTGAAGTCGACCTTCTCACAGAGCAATCATCGCCACTCGTTGAACCTTGTCGGAAGGTGTGCCACGACCACCAGTGATCAGCTCGAAGAGGTCCACGCAATCAGTTCCTGCACCATGCGGAATGACTGCCAAATCTTGAAGAGTCATTTTCAGCATGCCATGTGCTGCGATGCCTTGTTGAGCTTCTGACAAAAGCATGTTGCAAAATAGCTCCGCGAACCTTGCTGCGATGAGCTGCCCCACCTGCGTGCATCCAATAGCTGACATTGTCTCTGAATCGAATGCCGACTGTGAAACTCTCAAAGCCATCCTTGCACTTCAGAAAATCACGCGTCCGAATCCTCCAACTCGTGATAGGCATTCTCCCGAAATCCACACCGGTGTGCTACCATTCAAGGAATGGAGCATCCGCAAAATCATCTTGCCATCATACGGATAGCCGCTTTTCTTGTTCGCGCGCCCGCGATCATGGATACTGCATAGCCGTACTGGGAAAGGTACTCGATGACAGCGCAGCCCATTCGTGAGCTTCGTCTTATTGACCTTGGCCAGAACTCGATTGGCACTCGTGAGATGCTGCGACTAAGGTTTCACCATCTCAGACTGCATGGAAACTACATCGCGAGCGAGATCCATCATTGTAGGACGAAGCCGTAGCAAACTGCAAGCCAGAGACCTGGACTGATGGTGCTCAAACTCGTCCAACTCCTGAAAATCCTTCTTGCGGCGCTTGGTGTCTGAAACCTTGGCCTCCGACAGCTTCTCCAAGTTGTGTTGTTGATGTGCGAGTGGGTGCCCTGGTGCAAGTAGCTCGCGCGTGAAAGGTATTCATGTTCGCTTGGGGCTGCCAAACTCCTTGCCTAGATTCGCCGCGATCTGGTCCAAGAAGCGTTGAATTGTTCCTGGCAGTAGGTCGGCCACATGGATGATGCATAAAGCCACAACAACCCAGCCATTGATACTCATCTGAAATCACTCATCGCGTGCGCACCCTGAAACCAACGTCCAGCTCAAGGTAGTCAAGGGGCGCGAGCTGCCGCAGCAGCGGTGCATCCACCAGGCCACATAACGCCTTGAGGCATTTGATACTGAACAGAACATCTCCATCCAGCACTACAGTACGACTGTTAGCGTTGCTATTCCAGTGGCGCCAGATGTTCGCCGGCGGGTGAAACCGCGCCTGCCTGGCTGCCTTGACTTCACGACCTAATTCGTTCGCCTTGCTGGCAACTTCCGCAGATTTCAGCCCCTGCAGAAACGTGGCTGAAATGTCTAAGCTCCCGAAGAGAAGACTGACGTGCATTGTCAGTGAATGCAGTGGCGCGTGACTAACCTAGACGCCGGTGACAAGTGACGACTCACTGAAGTCTTCTGACGATCCAAGAAACCACGGCCACATCAGCTTGACTTTGCGATGCGCTTCTGCCTGTTCTTCCAACTCCTGACCCAGATGCCGTCGACCACGTTCGTGGCGTTGGTAGTCAGGTCAACCTCGAAACGTCGTGGCTGTAGAGTGATACTGCTTCCCCGTAGTCGCCAATCTCCACTGCATTCCAGTGATCCGTGACTTCTTGAGGCGCAAGCAGATCGTCAGAAAACGCTGAGAAACAACTGGCTTCACGAATGGAATAGAAGAAACACATGGACCTGGTCACTGGACCCTGAAGTACTGCAAACGCGGCTGAGGCCTTCCATGGAAGTACACTGTTCCATTCTTGATGCACACAGTGGAGAATATAGACGGCGTCCACGAAAGCACGCATGGAATACTCATCGCCGAACTTCGGCTTGAATCTGGTCGGCACCACCAGGCGCATAAGGTTGCCCTAGCCGATGATCTGCCTGCTTCGCGGCGAACCAGACCTGGTAGCTGCTTAGCACCAACTTTTCCTGCTTGTCCACGTCCACCTTCTCGCTTGTTGCCGGGCCGTAGCCAACAGTCGCATCAGGATCAGCGGGTTCAGCCAGTGGAAGAATGTGCCCAGGTGCTGCAGCTTCTTCTTTCTGGTCGGGCGTATTTGGCTGCAGGTGCATCTGGAGGGCTGTGTGATGCTTCGCGCCGTTGAGGCTGTGACCTTGCTCCACTAGGTAATACGTCTCGAAGTCGCAGGGCTTCTTGTCGAACTTCCTCTCCTTCGCGTGGATCTGGAGCAGGCCATGATCTCTTGTCCGAGAACGGTATCTCTCCGATGTTGATGGCGAAGGTCCTTCTTGAACTTCAGGAAGTGGAACGTTGACATCTAGTAGAGTCGGCAGTGGTGGCGAGCTGGGCTTGCCGTAGTCGATGGTGTCCTCGCTCGCCTTGCCGTAGTCGATGGTATCTTCTTATTCTGGCCCAGGTTGTTCT